TCACATGCATATGAGGCTATTGATAATGCCATGGCTTGGGTCAGGTGCACCTTAGTCTTCAAACTGATATCTTTGATTCTGAACCTTTTAAAGAGATCTTGTGCAGCATATTTGTCTAATACAAAACAGTGTTTGATTTCTTAGCTGCTTTTTCCATGAGTGTTGATTATGGATAATTGTAAAATGAAGTCTTTTACAACTTCAATCATTTTTTTGGTTATCATGATGTTATTTATTGGCCCAGTTGTGAAGATTTTTGTTTACTTTACAGTGCGGGCAAATCCATACTGAAGGCTGTAACCTTTGCTCTTCATCAATAAGTATTTTAAGTCCTCTTCACTTTCAGCAAGCAAGGTTGTATCATCTGTAGATGCCAAGTTGTTAATGAGTCTTCCTCCAAATCTGATGCCATGTTCTTCTTCACATAATCCAGCTTCTCAGATTATTTCCCTGGCATACAGATAGAATGAGCATGGTGCACATGTTTCTTGGTTTTAAACCATTCAGTGTTCCCTTGTTCTGTTCAAACGACTGCCTCTTGGTCTATGTACAGGTTTCTCATCAATCAAATGTTCAGGAATACTAATAGTAGGAGACGTGAATACACCACTCTCAATGAAGAACAGAACAATGAAAAACTCAACAAAGACACAGAAGATCTAAACAGCACAATCAGTCAACTAGGCCTCATAGACTTATACAGCACATTCCATCTAACAACAGCACAATATGCATTCTTTCCTAATACATATGGAACATTCTCCAGAATAGAGCATATGTTGGGCTATAAAGAAAACCTCAATAAATAAAATATATCAAAATACTACCAAACATTTTCTCAGATCACAATATTATAAAATTAAATATCAATCATAGGAAGACCAGAGAAAAAATCAAATACATGTAAACTGAGTAACACCCTGATTAAAAACTATGGAGAATAAGTACATAAGTAGAAACACAAAGATTTTTTAATCAAATAAGAATGAAAATGCAATATACTAAAACCTTCAGAACATAGCAAAAGTAGTGCTCAGATGGCGATTTATAGCAATAAGCACACAATTAAAAAAGAAGAACCAAAGTCAACATCTCAAACAATTAGAAAAGCAGCAGCAAAGTAGACCTGTAGCCACCAGTTGAAAATAAATAATAAAGGTTAGCAGAGACAAATGAAGCAGAAAAACAATGAAAGAACCAAATGACAAGAAGTTATTTGTTTGAAAGGATTAATAAAATCAGCAAACCACTGGCAAATCTAACTAAGGAAAAAAAGGAGAAGATACAAATAACATGAATAAGAAATGAAACAGGTAACTCCACAACAGAACCAAAGGAAATAAAAAGGATAACAGAATACCATGAAGAATTGTCCTCCAACAAATTTGAAAATCTAGAGGAAATAGATAAATTTGTAGAAACACACTACCTACCTAAACTACCACAAACTGAAGAAGACAGCTTGAACGAACATATATCAAAAGAAGAAATTAATCAGGTCATTAAAAAACAAACAAACAAACAAACAAACAAACAAACAAACAAACAAAAAACCCTCCTAGCAACAAAAAAGTCAGGGCTCAGACAGTTTCACTGGAGAATTCTACCAAACATTCAGAGAAGAACTGACACCAATTCTACTCAAACTATTCCAGAACATACAAAAGGATGGAAAACTCCCAAATTCCTGTTATGCAGCAAACAGAACCCTGATAACAAAACCAGGCAAACACTCCACTAAAAAAGAAAATTATAGACTAATCTCTCTTATGAATATAGATACAAAAATTCTCAACAAAATCCTAGCTAGTAGCATTCAACAACATATCAAAAAAATAATACATCATGACAAAGTGCATACCAGGTGTGCAAGGATGGCACATTAGAAAAAAAAATCAATATAATCACTACATAAATAAAACAAAGGAAAAGAACCATCAGAACGAAAAGAATCCTATCAATTGATGCAGAAAACACATTTGACAAAATCCAACACCCATCCCTGATAAAAATGCTCAGCAATATAGTAATAGAAGGGGAATTCGCCGACATAGTTAAGCGCATATATATACAGCCAATGGCAAACATTACTCTCAGCAGAGAAAAAACGAAAGTGATACCTTTGTAAATGGGAACTAGACAAGGATGCCCTTTATCACCACCACTTCTATTCAATATTTTCCTGGAAGTCTTAGCCAGAGCCTTAAGGCATGAAAGGAAAATGAAAGGCATCCAAATTGGCAAAGTAAACTCTAATTTCAGATGATTATGATCCTATACATAGAAAATCCTAAAGACTCAGCAAGAAAATTACTGGAATTCATTGAAAGATTCAGCAAGGTGGCAGGGTACAAGATCAACATACAAAAATCAGTTGGATTCCTTACATTAATAAAGAGAGCTCTGAAAAGAAATCAAGAAAACAACACCATTTACAATAACTACTCAAAAAATGAAATACTTAGGAAAAAAATCTAACCAGTGAATTTTCAAAACACTAATAAAAGAAACTAAAAGACACCTACATAAATGGAATAATATTATCACATTCATGGATAGAAAGATTTAACATTGTGAAAATGTCAGTAGTACCCAAAGTGATCTATAGATAGAATGCAATCCCAATCCAGATTCCAAAATCATTCTTTAAAGAGATGGAAAAACAAATCACCAACTTTATTTACATGAAAAGGAAAGAGACCTTGAATAAACAAAGTATTATTAAAGAAGAAAAACAAAGTAGAAGGCTTCTAATTTCCTGATCTCAATATCTACTAACCAGCCTGGTACTGGTACAATGAAAGACACAGCTCAAGAGAAGAGAATTGAGAACCAATTAGTTAATACATTCATCTGTGGTCAGCTGATCTTTGACCAAGGACCAAAACACATTAAATGGGGAAAACATAGTCTCTTTGACAAATAAATGATGCTGGCAAAACAATTTGCAGAAGAATGAAACAAGACCTCACCATATCTCACACCATATACAAAAACAAACTCAAAATGGACCAAAGACTTAAATGTAAAACCTAGAACTATAAAGATAATTGTTGAAAAAACAGGAACAAACTTAGTTACTCTGATACATGGCATAAATACACAGCTGAAAACACACAATCAAAGAAGATAAACTAGATGACTGGGATCTCATAAAAATTAGACAGTTATGTACATCAAAGGATTTCACCAAAAGTGTAGCTACTAGGATCTTAAAAGGTCATAAGAGTCCACATAAGGTGCAATTATTGGTCTCTCCATGTGTTGAGGAAAGAAGAGTGGTAAAAATTGAAGATGCTTGGAATCAATTAGTTCAATGGAATAACGGAACACATGAACATCAGTCTCCACCACCAAGGGAAACTAGATGGTTCCCAGCTACCACTACCAACGGCTCAGAAAGAGATCACATTAGAAGGTCCAGGATAGAGTGGGAGAAAATGTGGAACAAAACTCAAAATTATAAAAAAGACTGGGATTAATGGTCAGAAAGAGACTGGAGAAACTCAAGACCATGGCCTTCGGCCACCTTTCAGGTCTGGAACAGAACTCACAGTAGGTAGTTATATAGGGGTCAACAATACTAATAAGGTATGCTCACCACAGAATGGTCAACCATTCAAGATCAAAAGGGTAATGTTTACCTAAGGACAAAGTTCAGAACATTTGGGAAAGGAAGGTAGAATAGGAATAAGGGAGTAAATGGGATAATTGTTATATGGAGGGGATTACAATCATTGAAATGAAACCAAGTGTTTGATTTGTTAAATGTAAAACTGTTGATATGCTTTGTAAACCTTCACTCACTCAATTATAGCAAAAGTTGTTTTGTTTTTTTAATTCACAAAAAGAGTAAAAAGAGAATTCACAGATTTGAAAAAAAATTTGGGGAATGATTTATCAAAGCACTAATCTCTAAAATTGATAGAAAACTTTAACACTTCAACTAGAAAAAGACAAATAATCCAGTTTTTAAATGGGCCAAACAATAGACAGGTCTATAAGGCGACCCACCTTGGAAACCCTATAAAGGGTCTACCAACTGGAAGGCCTTAATAACAACAACAAAAACAATAGGGTGAACAATAACACCAAGGAGTATGAAATCCTACAAACAATCAACCATTCAAGATCCAAAGGGCAGCATTGCAGAGGGACAAAATGTAGATGGCAGGACAGGTTAGGATAGGAGGAATAGAAACAGGAAACACAGGGAGAAAGTGGGATGAGTGATGTTACAGTGTGAGGCTTGCTATCAACGGCATGAAACAAAATGTGTATGAATTGTTGAATGGAAAACTGATTTGCTTCATAGGGTTTCACCCAAATAAAAATTTTAAAAATGGTTTATTAAAGGAAAAAGAAAAGGCAACACATTCAACAAGAATAGCAACAAAAAAAGAATACAATAGAAACTTCTCCTTGGCTTTGTGCGGGCAAGTGTGTTTATTTCAGTTGGCTTAGTGTGTGCATGCATGTGTGTACATGCAAGTGTGTTTGTGTGAGTGTGAGCACATGTATTTGGGGAAACCAATACTGGCTTCTGAGATTTTCACTATTCTCCTGATTTGAAATGCTCTGTAAACCTCTTGTGGTTAAACTGAGGCTTAAATGTGCTTGAACTGATGACATCATATCCATTTGAAGTCCCTTGGGAGAAACCCAGGACCCATTTCACACAGAAAGTGTTTTATAAATGTATAAGATTATTACTTGGCCTGGGGCAAATTCTCATATCAACATATTCCAACTCTGGTTTTTCTAGGTGTGGTTTCTCAGCAGCCTGCATTTAATCCCAAACTCAACAGAAACTTATACCCGCCCTATTTTTTGTTTACATTATTATATACATTTTCACTCTGAAACCTGCATCTGAGAAAGTCTTATCTTAGTCTAACAATAGGAATCAGAAAAGCACAACTGATTAGGAAGGATGGAGATGAAGAGCATTCAAATTGCAAGGCATAGTCAGGGCATGAGCGGCACCGTGCAGCACTCACCATGGTCGTGGGCAAACACCAGCAGGCCCAGTCTCATCAGCATCTGAGCCAGTTCCTCATAGCGCCCGCAGTGCTCCCCAGCTCCGTGGGAAATAAATATCAGGGCCCTGGAAGGAGCGAGAAGGGGGACTGGTCAGGAAGGTGACAGGCCACTGAGGTTACACTGCCTTTTCTAGCACCAGGAACAAGCTAGCAATTGAATTGTGATCTACATGCTTTGTGAAACAAGAGGAGTTCAGTGATAAAATACCAGGCTTCTGGCTCATGAAGTTCCTGGGCGGTGAAAATGGTTAGTGTGCTCAACTGCTAACCAAAACACTGGAGGTTCAGTTTCACCCAGAAGGCATGGTGAATTCCAAAGTATCGGCTACTGAAAACCCTACAGAGTGCATATCTACTCTGACATACGTGGGGTTGCCATGAGTTGGTGGAGAGTTGACAACAATGGGTTTCAGAGTGACAGAAGGCAGAACCAATCCTGGCTCTGCCTATGAGTGCTCAGGCAAAGCACGAGGCCCATGAAGCTTGATTTCTTCACCTCTGAAATAGGAATAATAATCTACCTGCTGGGTGTCTTTAAGGATCAAATATGTAAATTTGTGCCAAAGAACCAGGCAGAGTGCTGGCCTATGGCATGGCTTCTCCAATCGACATGCCCCATATCCTTGGCCACAGGGATTGGTTCAGGGATAGGCATGGGATGCCAGTCAAGCCAACTATTACCACCAGAACTCAGCCCAGAGCTTTTGCTTTTAAGTAGCCAGGGGAAGGCATTTGCATTTTCCCACCAACTTGTACCTCCAGAGTGAGATGGCTCTAGGCATTTTGCCACCTTATGGAGGTTGAGTTGATCCTCAGGGGGAGCATCAGTCAAAGCCAAGTGATGGGAAGCACCAGTCTTAATGGTGGCGTTTCAACTCTGAATCCAGCTGGACCCAAAGGTAGCATTCCTCCTTCCCTTCTCCCCCCTGCCATGGGTTTTTTGTCACTTGTCATCAGAAAAGTGCTGACATACATTTTTTTCCATTTTTGTGTGGGATAATTTTACTTTGATACTAATTAGTCTAACAAACCCAAACCCCACTGTGTTTAGTTGATTTTGACTCATAGTGACCCTGTAAGAAGACAGAGAGAACTTAACTCCTCCCTAGGGTTTCTGAGGCTATAAATCTTCATGGGAGTAGACAGCCTCACCCTTCTCCCAAGAGCCACTGGTAGGCTTGAACCACAACCTTTTGGTTAGCAACCCAATGCTTAACCCATTGTGCCACCAGAACGTCTTCGTTCTTCTATAGTTTACTGGAATTTTTATTATGTATGTGCCTGTTTTCCTCTTCCCCTCTTTCTCCACCTAGGAAACTCAGTCCCTTCTTCAACACCTAGTCTTAGGGTTCTACTCCTTGGATGACTTTCCAGGCTTTAAAGTTGAAGTTCATCTCCCCTTTCCTCTGGACTTCTGTGTTGCTGTTGGTGTTGCATGCCACTGGGTTGGTTCTGACTCGTAGTGACTTGATGTACAACGGAAGGAAACACAACCAGGCCCTGTACGATCTTCACAATCATTACTTTTGAGCCCATTGTTATACTGGGCTCCTATTGTTGTTGTTGTTAAGGCCCATTGGGTTAATTCTGACTCACAGAGACACTGTATAGTCCTGGTGTGGTGCTGTGGGTTAATGCACCAGACTACAAAGCCATTTGAACTACAAGGTCAGTGGTTCAAGCTCACCAGTTGCTCCTTGGAAACCCTATACAGGGTTGCTGTAGGGTCGAAACTGAGTCGATGGCACTTAACAACAACATAGGGTTTCTGAGGAGCAGCTAGTGGGCTTGAACCGCCAACCTTGTAGTTGGCAGTTAGGTGCCTGTCCTACAGCACCATCAGGACTCCTTAGATTATGTGTTATAACACAAAATATGTGTTATAAACCCTAGCCTATATGCCTGTGGTTATAATCCCTTTGGGGAATGGATTGTTGGGTTATGTTAACAGGGCAGGATTGTTTTCAATAGGTGCCTTACAGTTGGTTCTGACTCATAGAGACTCTATGCACAACAGCATGAAACACTGCCCAGTCCTGCATGATCTTCACAACTGTTATCACTTTTGAGTCCATTGTTACACTGGGCTCTTATTGTTGTTGTTAAGTGCTGTTGAGTCAATTCTGACTCACAGCGACCCTGTGTAGGGTTTCTGAGGAGTGGCTGGTGGGTTTGAACTGCCTACCTTGCGGTTAGCAGTCCAGAGCTTATCCTACAATGCCACACCAGGAATTCCTTCATTGTTGTTGCTAAGTGCCATCAAGTCGTTTCTGACCCATAGCAACATAGTATAGGGTTCCAAGGAATGGCTGGTGAGCTTGAACCACCTGCCTTTCAGTTCAAACCGACCTTGCACTTTGTAAATACTTCTGTTACAAAAAGAGCTACCACTGCGTTCTATTTCCATCGCTGGTTTCTAACTTTGAGAGCAGGCAAAGATGCCTCCCTCATTTTTCCTTTAATGGCTAGCACAGTTTTTAGCTCATGATGGACACGGTGTAGATGCTGTTTGAATAGAGGAGAGGAAGGAAGTGGTACGGTTTTAAAACACAGGTATATTTCACTCCTGAAATAGATGGGGCTGTGCGCTGTACTAAAAGCCTCAAAGTCTGAAAGCAGAGCTTGGCAGAAGCTCAGCCATCGATCGATGTGACTGTGGTCACTGCGAGTTCCCACAGCAGCCACGATCCTCTGATGGCTCGTCTCAGCTTCTCCGCTAGCCATGGTGGAGAAGTACCTTCCTCCATTAGACAGTCACCCCAGTCAAAAACTCATTTCTTAGCCAAAGATTCATGGGGGGCAGGTGGGGAGCAGTCCTACAGTCTCCTCCAGAAAGAGTGAATGTTCAGAGCCAGGTGCCACCCAATCTCCGCCAATAACTATGAGAAAGAGGAGGATAACAACAGCCACCACTTTACTGAGTACTTACAATGCGCCACTTTCGGTTAACTTCATGCTCGTGATTTCTAACTCACGTAACAACCCGCTGTGGTGGGCTCTGCCTTCATAATGTAAGTGACAGTGAAATCAGAGAAGTTGAGTAAACAGCCCAAGTTACACAGCAAGTTAGTAAAGTCTCCAGCAGGCTAACACTATGCCAAGAATAGAAGTGGACCACCTCCTCACCCCCTCACTCTCTCCACACCAGCAGTTCTGAGTTTAAATCCCCCTCTCCCTGGGATCCCCCAAGTTGTCCTGTGTCTACTCTGTATCCTCCAGCTCTCAGGACAGGGACCTTCCAGTCTCTTCCCCATGCAAGGTGGCCCACTGGGATCTCTGGCTAGATAGTTTTCTTCCTCTTGTATGTCACAGCTTGTCTACATGATAACTCATTTCCTGATGTCCTCTTCTACTTGGAAGGGGTCTGTCCCCCATGTCCTGGCCCACCCCAGAGCATGTGTGACATGACATGCCCTGTACAAAGGCTGCGATCTTGCTACAGTGCCTCTCTGCACAGGTGTGTAAAGGCGGGGTCCAGGTCTGTTTTACCACTCTTACAGGAACTGCATTAGCTGAATTCTCAAAACCCCCATGGACAACTGTCCTCCTTGCCTCTTGCTAAAAGCACAAAAAAGTGCTTTTAGCACTTTTTCTCCATGGCTCTGTGTGCCCTCCACAGCACAAGGCTAGGAGTCGGTATAGCCACAGGATACCACCCACCTGGCGTCTCTGGGAGCCGAGTGGGTGCCTTTCCCGTTTCTCTAAGCTCTGGAGAAGCATGGCTAGAACTGTACCATAATCATCAACTTCTACCTTCCAATTCGGTTCCACTTCCGAAAGGAGGCCTCACATACTCTTACAGTTGTAGGGGAGCACAGCACTACTGTTGTCAGTGCAGCTCCACACAGCAGCTAGAGTGATACAGGCTGAGAAACTACAGCCGGTCTGCCCAGGTAGCCAGTGTACCACCTAGCGGTCCTACCCATGAGGACACAAGTGTCACTTAGGGGCCAACATGTGGACAAATACAATCTCTTACTCTATGGAGGGGTTCACATTCCAGTCCAGGGGTTCCTGGCCTTAGCCACACCAAAGCCTGGGCCCCACCTCCAGACTGTGATTTAATCGGCCCTGCATGCAGTCTGGGTCCCTGGAGCTGGAAAGGTTCCAGCATTTCTGCCAGCAGCTGAGGCTGGGATGTACCTGCTCCATCATGCTTCAGCTTGGGCAGCCTGAGTGACTGCTCTAACGCAGAATGGAGTCGACCAGAGTGGGGCGATGAAGCCATTCCAGCATGGGCCCATGCACCCATGTCGGCACTGTTTCACTCCTGGAAGAGGGGGATACATTGCACAACCACAGGTTACATCCATAGAGGATCTGGGGGCTCCTGACATCACCCCTTTGGAAAGGAAGCTAACCAACATAATTGTCATACATGCTGCAGGTAGCTGAACCTCAGCAGCACTCCTTTCTGCACAGGTGGGGTCACTTGGCAGCCCCTGGCAGGCACAAACCCAGGTCAGGCAGCCTTGGAGCCACACCCTATTGATACCTGGCGTCATTCTGCCATGCTAAGTGGATTTCTTCTTAGTTTTTAGATTCAGATCTTGCCTGCACCCCAATTCTGATAACTTGATCTCTCCTCTCCCCTCCCCACGCTTGTTCCCTGGACCTGCGTCTTTGGTATAACCTGTCCTGCAAAGTAAAAATCAAATCTTAGTGCCCTTTGCTTTAAACCCTTTTGAGTCTTCCCACTGCTATAGAACAGTCTCTGTAGTAAACTTTCTCTTCCCTGCTTTCCCTGACCACTGTACTTCATGGTCTTTTTTCTAGTGCTCAGGTATGCTAACCAGGGGTCTGTTGACAAAGATTTACCAAAATGGGAATGGTGGAATCCTGATTTGTAGTGTCTGCCAGTTCCCGTGTTGTAAAAGATCATCTCACGATGGCTGATTTTGAGCTACTAACATGAGGTTACTAATCTCAGAACTTGAAGAAAAGTGTAAACTGGCTCCTGGGTCTGGCCAAGTTGTTCATGAACATGCTGGGAAGAGTAGTCCCACCTCAGAGCTATGCACCTGGTGAGGCTGTGCTGGAAACTGGTCCCCACCCACCCAGTCTT